ACAAATAAAAACCAACAGACTCTTCAAGTTTTCAAGAATTCTACGAAACCGTAGCGTGGCGGCCTGTACACAGCCAGCTAGAATCTTTCCGTCTCAACCACAGCCAGTTGCTGCTCCTTTCTGCTGCTTCAGATAAGTTCTTTACTGTGCGACGCAACTCTTGGCCACTGAATCCGACGTCTCTGAGGAACCGGGTTGTAGAGTGTGCCACAAAACCTCGACAACCCACTTCCACTGGATAAACCTGGACTCTCCATCCTCGCTGTTCTGCTTCAGTGGCCAGATGAGCATACCACAGTTTCTTCCTCTCATATGCCTCATCTACCGCATCCTCCCATGACACTGTTAACTCTTATCAGTTGAACAATGCGTGCTGATCCAGACCACAAAACAATATCTGGTCGTAGGTTAGTGGTGGCAATCTCAGGTGGAAAAATAAGCCGTTGATCAAGATCAGCCAGCATCTTCCAGTCCCCAGCAGCTTCCAGTTGTCCTGGGCGAGAATTGGTGTTAGCACCTTTTCTTGGTGGTTGCTCGCCTGGGCGGAGGAATATTGTCTTCTGCGTGTAATGTTTTGCTAGAACAGGTGGCAACTTATTGGTCATACTACGCTTGCCTTCCAATGCTAAAGCCAAACATCGCAGTACTTGGTCATGGCGCCAAGTAAACCGACCTTGGCTAAGAGCCACCTTACATCCTGTCAAAATGTGCCTTAATGTGGCAGGTGATGAACACAAAGGACAAGAGGGATCCTCTCCTACCCAGAGGTTTAGGTTCTGCGGTGATGGGAGAACATCATATGTTGACCTAATAAGGAAACTGATCCTACTCTCTTCCATTGACCAAAAGCCCATTTTGCGTTATTGCACTCTCCCATCTCATCCACTCTCCCTGCTTGGCCTGGGAAATGGCATTTATACATCTCATCCTCTCCTCCTGCTTTCGCACCTCATTGACTACCAGCTTCCTCCTTTGAGCTGGGCCTGCCTTGTGCCATTTAGGAGGAGCTAAACTGAGCCCAAAACCCCCTCTTCCATGCTGTACCTGTCCCACGATATCCCCAATTTGAAGGTCAGCCTTTGCCTCTACTACAGATTTCTTTGCTGACCACTTTTTACCAGTTTTTAACACATGTGCTGCCTCCCTTACACATTTGTCGCGTGACTCTACTAAAGTCATTTCCAGTCTGACCTTGGCGCACTTAAACTCCTCGGTTAAAGCAGAGACTGGCAGCTGCAATATTCCTTTACTATAAAGTCCCACTCTGCTGAGGCAGCGTGGAACTCCCAACCATTTCCTAATGTATGAACTTATTAACGCTTCCAGCTTATCCACTGTTGTCAAAGAAACCTCGTACACAGTCAGTGGCCACAGCAACCTCGGCCTTAGACCAAACTGAAAGCACCAGAGTTTTAGTTTGCCTGGTAGAGCACAGCTGTTTATGCTCTTCAACCCTTCCACTGCTTGTCGTCTAACTTCTCCCACCCGAACTGTGTCCTTTAGGTTCCCATCGTACCATCTCCCAAGACTCTTCACTGGCTTCTCAGAAACTGTTGGTATTGCCTCACCATTAATGAAGAATGTTTTATCTACTACATTTCCTTTAACTATCGAGATGCTCCTTGATTTAGAGGGCTTAAATTGCATTCGTGCCCATTCAATATTATCTGTTAACTTCCCCAATAACCGATTAGTGCAGGCTACTGTTGTAGTCATGGTTGTCATGTCATCCATGTATGCTCTGATTGGTGGTAGTCGCATCCCAGAAGCCAAGCGCTCTCCTCCTACTACCCATCTTGATGCCCTAATGATTACTTCCATTGCCATGGTAAAAGCCAGTGGAGAAATGGTGCATCCTGCCATTATTCCAACCTCTAAGCATTGCCATGCGGTGCTGAATTTTGGAGTTGAGAAACTAAATTGCAAATCTCCAAAATAGGCTTTCACTAAATTTGTTATTGACATTGGTATTCTGAAAAAATCAAATGCTGCCCAAAGAAGCTCATGTGGCTCTGAACCATATGCATTAGCCAAATCCAGGAATGTCACATGGAGCTCCTTCCTCTCCTTTTTAGCTGACTGAATTCGTTGCCAGATAACATTGTTGTGTTCTAAGCATCCTAAGAACCCTGGAATGCCCGCTTTTTGAACTGAAGTGTCAATGAAGCCATTCTTTAATAGGTACATTAAGCTAATACCATGCTACATTAAGCTAATTTAAGTTTTCATTTTGCAAGTAGTAATGTATAATTGAGCAATGTATAATTAAAATATAATTAATTTTAATCATTGCATGAAATATTTAACATATGCTACATTGACATGAAAAGTCTAAATGAAGAATAGACACAGTTGCAACATTATATGTAATACAGCAGTAAATCATAATTTCAGTAAGCTTTGTTTACGTTATGCAATATCAATTTTGTATATGCAGCCTAATATTACAGAGCACAGGCCCCAGTTGGACAGTTCTAGGATTTTGTTGAAAAACACTATGGAGTGGCCCAAAATAGTATTTGCTCACATAAGCCACCCTTAAAATGTATTCATTTTATTGCATTAGATAATACAATATCAAATCATGTAGCGTCTGCAAACAAATGCTGCTAGAGATTTTCTCAGAAATAACGTAACTTTTCGGAGACATTTTTTGCAATGGCTTTTGTAAATGTACAGTATGAAGTCAGTCCTTTTCAAGTTCACACAGGTGTGGTTTTACTATGTAGATGTTTCAAATCCACAATGCGTTTCATTATTTTTTGGTCTTAAAGAGGCCATATTATGCCCTTTTACAAAACTTTGACTTTTTCGGGGTTGTTGTTCGGGGTTGTTGTTCCACTGACTTCACTCCTATTGGTTGTTTCTCCTGAAAGTCACCCTTCGTTTGCTAAATTTAAACATTTCTCAAATTTTTGTGTCGCTGGACACACCTACATCATGTCGCCAATGGTCACTGTCGCTTGTGTCGTCGGAAATTGCCAGCTCTCCATTGGAATGAATGAGATCATGTCGCTTTGTGTGAATGCAGCTTAAAGGCATAGTTCACCCAAAAATGAAAATTTTGTCATTAATTACTCACCCTCCAAACCCGTAAGACCTTCGTTCATCTTCGGAACACAAAGTAAGATATTTTTGATGAAATCTGATGGCTCAGGGGGGGCTCCATTGACAGCTATTTAATGAACACTTTGAAGGCCCAGAAAGGTAGGAAAGACTTTGTTAAAATAGTCCATGTGACTACAGTGGTTCAACCTTAATTTTATGAAGTGACGAGAATAACAAAATAATGACTTTATTCAACAATTTCTTCTTTTCTGTATCAGTCTCAGACGTGCGTTCACGAGAGCACCATGACACATGCGTGTGATACATGTGGCGTCTCATCGTCTGAATTATCCAAACTTTAAAGATGTGGCATGACAATATCACAATCGATGCAGCACACACTCTCCTGTTCAGTAGGCATAAGCTCTCCATTGCTCTCTGTTTTTCAGGAGCTTGTGGCTGTGGTTGTGTTGCAGCCTCTTTTATCTCTTTTAGTTTGTTTTCTGTATATTCTGGTTCGAATAAGTAAGGTTGTGCAAAAAATGTAATTCATCCTCTGTGTCGAAATCTGCAGACATAGTTATGAACTGTTTTATGTTGAGCGTGTGTCTTCCTCTGCTTGTAAACACAGCCCAGCGTGTTCTGGACATATGTTAGAATTCCAGCTCCTGCGTCATCATCACGTCATAAACTGCGCGTCATAGACTGATACAGAAGTGAAGAAATTGTTGAATAAAGTCGTTATTAGTTTTTATGGCGAACAAAAAGTATTCTCGTCACTTCAAATTAAGGTTAAACCACTGTAGTCACATGGACTATTTTAACAATGTCTTTCCTACCTTTGTGGGCCTTCAAAGTGTTAATTAAATAGCGCCCCCCCTGAGCCATCGGATTTCATCAAAAATATCTTAATTTGTGTTGCGAACGAAGGTCTTTGGGGTTTGGAGGGTGAGCAATTTTTAATTTTTGGGTGAACTATCCCTTTAACACAACTCAACCAGGCAACACCCCCTTTTTTTGCGTATGCCTTGGGTGGGAATTATTTTAATGAGGAATACTGTGGCGTGTACGTTCCCGGACGAAAACTCAAGACTACAAATGCGGCATTTCAGGGAGTTCAGAAACTATAATATAGAGAATTACTCCGTTTGGATTGACTTTGGATACCTTTGTCATGCTCATACAGCAACATTACACGCTAAAGCTTAATAAGTCCTCTTTAAATTTACATTTATATTTATTTATTTAGCAAATGCTTTTATCTAATGGGACTTAAAATAAAGGAACATAAGCTTAAAACTTAAAATAACAAGCAATTTATCATACATTTTTATCATATAATTGTCATATAATATTGTAATACATTTTCATCAGTTTTAAAGAATATATCTCTGGTTTTAAATGTGCTTGTACTATATTTCTTTCAAATATATCACTTGCTTTGGTGATTCTTTGTCTAATACAATGATATTAATACATTTTTAAGCATGCCTTTAGTGCTGAAATATTTTTAGGTGTAGGTGTTTTGTTGAGGGGTTGCTTCAAATAGCATGTTTGATTTGAAGAGCTCCTCCACCTGTTTTGGTGAAGGGGGTTTGTGTATGTTCATTGTACCTCCCACTGAGACGGCATCTGTTGATTTGTCTCGAGGCTCCTTACAGAACACATAGAAATGAGGCCATACTCCTTGTTGTTTAGGGCACATGTTGACCTCCTGCCCTCCCTGATCTGTCTGCTCCATCTTAGCCCTAGATTTAAAGAAATAGTTCATGCAAAAATGAATATTCTGTGATTATGTAGTCTTTTGAAAACCTTACATCCATGGATATTTACAACATGTCCAAACACTGAATGTTTAGCATTAGATTTTCTATGTTTATTCCCTACTGACATGAATTTAATCTCTGTCCATATCACCTCTCTCTCTCTCTCTTTCTCTTTTTCTCTGTCAGTTCGTTGGCCATGTCTAAGGTTGCAGGAAAGAAGCTGCACTGGCGCTCCAAAGTGCAGGAGACTTTCATACCGCTGGTTGGCGGCTCTGGAGAGTTGGGAATTGCCATCGGAGGCGGGGCCGATTATGGAGAGTTCCCATTCGTCACGGCTGCGCCAGGGGGAGGGATCACAGTTGGCGATATCATCATAGAAATCGGGGGAACTCCTGTTTTGGGCCTGACTTTAGGAGATGTGCGTGGGCTCCTAAACTCCTGCCCCCATCCAATCCGTATCAAATCAGTGTCTCCAGGTAATGTTAGAACTTTACATTCTCACATAACTGGTTTGAACATGGCTTTTTGGTCTCTAAATGTTTTTTTTTTTCTCCAATAGTGTTTCTTATCATTGGTAGTGGTTCTTGTTAATGCAAGCATAACTACTGCTACAGCTCACACTTTGGGTTAATGACACTTACAAACCTCTCAGAACAAATTGGCAACCACCCTAGCAAAACCTTAGCAACCACTCAGTCTACCTTAGCAACTACCTTAGCAACTGCATAGCAACACCCTGGCAACCACCCACAACAGCCTAATAGTTTGTATTTTTTCCCCCGCAGTCTCTCATTTACAAATGCACTACCATTCCACTGCACGAATACTTTTATTCTCCAAGGACACATTAAATTGATCCAAAGTGACGACCCAAAGATGTTTATAATGTTACAAAACATTTCTATTTCAAATAAAGTGCTGTTGTTTTGAACTTTAATAAACAAAAAAATTAAAAAGCGCAGCTGTTTTCAACATTAATAATAATTCAACATAGTAATACAAATGTTTCTTGTGCGGCTAATCAGCATATTAGAATGATTTCTGAAGGATCATGTGACACTGAAGACTGGAGTAATGATGCTGAAAATTCAGCTTTGCATTACAGGAATAAATTAAATTTTTATAATAAAAAAAACAAAAAAAACGGTTGTAATTGTAATTGTACTTTTACTTTATTTTGACTGTTATTTTAATAAAATATATATAATATTATAATATTTATTAATACTTTGAATTAGCTTTTATTTTTATGTTTTCAGTTTAATTTTAGTTTAACTTTAAGTAATCTTGTTATGTGCTTTTGTCATTTTCATTATTTGTTTTTAAATATAGCTTTAATTAAATTTTTATTTCAGTTTTAGCTTTAGATATTTTAGTACTGTTTTAATTCAGCTTTATTTCAATTAATAGAAATCCAATTAACAGCAAAGTCAACAGCATGAGGTTACTTTCAAAAACATAAAAACAAATCTTACTGATATAAGTTATGAGTGTACGAGTATTCATGATGTTTTGACCACTATATAAACTAATCTTAATGTCACAACAGCATGACAAACTGTCAGGTATGGGTGTGATGAAAGTAGCTCATGGGCTTTTAATGATAATAAATAAATAAAAAACAGACAACAAAAACTACCCCGAGGGGGATGGGTTGACGTTGACTTGGACTTGGACTTGGACTTGGACTTGGACTTGGACTTGGACTTGGACTTGGACTTGGACTTGGACTTGGACTTGGACTTGGACTTGGACTTGGACTTGGACTTGGACTTGGACTTGGACTTGGACTTGGACTTGGACTGCAGGGAAACATACAACAACGAACCAGCACAGGAATGCAAACACAGGGAGAATAAATAGGGAGAGCAAACAAGCATGTAACGAGAGATTACAGGTGGGGCAAATGAATCAATAATCAGGTAACAAGATGGGCGGGGCAAGACAAAATGACAGGAGAGCACATGGCACAAGGAAACACGACAACCCATGTGCTCATACCAAACCAGCAAACACAATCACCAGCCATGTGCCCAAACAAAACAAGACATGAACACTCAGCTAATGAGAACACTCATAAGCCACGTGTTCACACAAAACATGACAACATGAAAGCACACAGCGAGTGAAAAACACAAGCTGCATGCAACACAGCACAAGACAAAACATGACATGAAAGCACACGGACGATGTAAACACGAACCGCATGCTACACAAAACACACAACAACACACGCAGACAGAAGAGCGTACGATCCGAGCGAACTCGAAACCGCACGCTCACACGACAAGCTCATTCTGTGCGCTCACACCAGAATACAAACACGCGGAGCTTGAATGTCAGAATCCCGACACAGAACCGAAACAAACTAGACCGACGTGCCGGGATCCAAACACCACGCCCCGCACATGAAACAAGGCACACAGACAAGACAAAACCAGAGTGTCGGGGCTCTGTCACAAAACCAAGAAATAGAGTCAAGTCAAGTCATCTTCATTTATATAGCGCTTTTAACAATGGAGATTGTTTCAAAGCAGCTTTACAGAGATAAACATACAATTTACGGTAACAGAGATTGTTTTGGCTTCATAGCGATTTTGAATAATGTTATTTCCGGCTAAAGTTGGTTTTGATTGATTCACTTCCAGCAAAATTATCATTTGTTATTACATTAGGGGCCACTAAGACGACGGAGTTCTCTCTAAACAGACTTTAAACGCGAACCTGTGACCTGATGGCGTTCACATGGGCATTAAAAATTGATTCTATAGTTATATTCGTTTGAATATGTGTGCGCAGGTTTGTAATTTCCCTACAAACCATGCCTAAACAAACTACTTGTCTTGCCTATAAATTTGATACCGAATTTTATTTTATCACTTCGGGGTACGCGAACCGGATTTTCAACAACGCTTTATCTGTAGAGTGGGAAAGGGATCCTCCATAGGGAGAGGATAGTTGACACTTCAGCACTGCGTTGTCATCGGGTCCAGGCGAATCTCATTCGTCAGATCTGGATACGGCCTGGATCCGGCAGGCTGCAGGAAAACCTCGGGATAAACAAAGACACTAAAGTTAGCGCAGATGCCATTCTTCTTATGATGTAACGAGTACATCTGGATTTAAGGGAAGTGTTCCCAGTTCTGGCTGACCTAATCTATGCAGCCTAACATATAATTATTGAAGTCTATAATGTATTATGTGTATGCTAGGTCGAAGAGATGTGTTTTTAGTCTAGCTTTGAACTGACAGATTGTGTCTGCTTCCCGGACAATCATGGTAGGAAGACTGTTCCAAAGTTTTGGTGCTAAATAGGAAAAGGATCTACCGCCAGCTAGACAGAAGTGATAGAACCCTGACACAGACTCCCACTGCGAAATCCATCTTTGTCAACTCTTTATAGAGTTTGTTCCCTTGTTGCTGGATGGTGGTATTTATGTCACATGGGTCGTATGTCACCCTTAGGGGGCGCTGAAATTTATCACACAGTGTCATGGCATGGGTGATTTTTTTTTTCTTCAAACTGTATGTCACACCTGACCATGACTTCCTCCATCCTATTAGATGATCCAACCAAGTCTGCTGCGCCCCCCTCTCTACTGCTGTTCTCACACCTCTAACACCTCCAACTAGCAACTACAGCGTATTCAATTGAGCTTTGTCAGTAAGGTTATATTTCACTGTTGCATGTTGCATTAGCTGCTGAGAATATCTCATAGTCCTAGAAATGCAGAATTATGCATCCTGTTCTGTTATTAATATCGTCTTCTGATCTGCCTGTGTATCCTATATAAACACAGTGGCCACAGAGAAGAGGAGCTTTGTGCTAATTCTGGCACTTCTATTTTAAAAAAAGATCAATATGTCCCTGCTGAAATACATCCAAATCTTTATAAAAGCAGCTCTGTCTTCCAAACAGAGGAATTGATCATGGTGAACTCATGAGGATTCTTTTTTTTTTTCATTTCCATTTTTTTATGTTTATTTTGCACTTTTGCAATTAACTGAATTTCTACAGGATGATCAATTAGACTAAATTTTATGCCACCATTATGTGTGATGTGTTCTGGTTGGTTGCCAGATCATTGCTATATGGCCACTGAGGTGTTCTTAATGGTGTTTAATGCTTTGCTATGTGGCTGCTACAGTATTTTTTTTTAAGTGGTTGCTAGGGTGTTCTGGAAGGTTGCTAGATGACTGCTGTGCAGTTGCTGAGGTTTTCTGGGTGATATTTACTGTTGCTGTGTAGTTTCTGGGAATTCTTGGGTGTTCTGACCTGGGTAGTTGTTAGATTATTGGTATGTGGTTTCTGTGGTGTTGAGAGTAGTGTTTGGCATGTTGCTATGTGGTTGCTTTATTTGGTAGTTGCTATGGTGTTTCTAGGGTGTTCTGAATGGTTACCACCAGATCAATGCTATATGGTTTCTAAGGTGTTCTGAGGGGCTTTTGAAACAATTCTATGTGGTTAGTACAGTATTCTTGGTCCATGTTTACACCTGGTATTAAGATGCGTTTTCATCAATCCGATCACAAGTGGAATTAATACAGGTGTAAACATGGTCTAAATAGTTTTGAGCTTGTCCACTTTCTAGCACTTCCAGAGGTAGTCGAAAATGCATTTGACCGGATTGCTTTCGTAGTGTTAACTCTCATGTGGTTGAATATGTTCAAACAGCCGCAAAAGATGCCTACTCTCTGCCTAGAACTAATGCGTAAAAATTATGAGAAGCGCGCTAGCCAGACGGGGTTTAAACTTTGGCTGGAGACCCAAGTTTGGTTTGAAGATGAAAAACGTACCAAGCATAATGTTCTCTCACCATTCCTGATTTCTAACACACTCACAGTGTTCAGCATGGTCTTACGGCTGTCAGTGCAGAAACGAAAGCTGATGCTCTCCGTGTGTTTTTTCTGTCGTCTCTGGTCGCATTCATAGGTAAATTGTACAATCTTATTTCATCCATTTGATTGAAAGAAAAACGTTACATTTACCTGCCCATAGACTCTCCCCTCGAAGAAATCAGTGGTTGAAAGTAGTGTAGTACTCGAGTCCGGTCTCGGACTCGAGACCCGTCTCGAGACCGATTTCTGCTTTCTCGGACTCGTCTCGGACTTGTTCCTTCAAAGACTCGATCTCGACTCGGACTCGACCCTTCAAAGACTTGGTCTTGACTCGGCATATGCGGTCTCATCCCCATCACTAGTTAAGACTGCTCCTCTAAACAATTCCCAATCTAGCTTAGTCAATAGGCCTAACTGTTGATTATTAACTGGGGTGATATTAATCATGAATATCAAAACTGACATGTCGAGACAAAATCTCGACTCGGACTTGCTTCCTCAAAGACTCGGTCTTGACTCGGACTCGACTGTATTTGAAAACCAACGGACTCGGTCTCGACTCGGACTCGACCCTTCAAAGACTCGGTCTTGACTCGGACTCGACTTTATTTGAAAACCAATGGACTCGGTCTCGACTCAGACTCGACCCTTCAAAGACTCGGTCTTGACTCGGACTCGGCATAGGCGGTCTCGTCCCCATCACTAGTTGAAAGTGCACAAAAGAGATGGATTAAAACACCAGGTGTAAATGGGTGTATATGTCTCGCTCGTCTACTTGTGATCCAATCGGCCAATCTTAACACCAGGTGTAAACAGGGCATCAGAACCACTTAGCAGCCATTTGGAAATTGGCTAGCAACACTCTAGCAACAACACAGAATACCCTAGCACTGCAAAACATAAACAAGAGAGAGATTAAAACACCAGGTTGCCAGATCTGTGCTATAGTTGCTAAAGTGTTCTCAGTGGTGTTTAATGCATTGCCATGTTGTTACTAGGGCGTTACTAGAACGTTCCCTTATATGATTGATTGCTATGCTGTTGTTGAGGTGTTCTGATTGGTGTTTCTGTTTAATGTTGCTATGTAGTTGCTGGCTATCCTGTGTAGCAAACTAGCTCTATGAAATATTAATAATCAATCATAACTTGTTATAATTGATTATGAATATTTGGATCAGTTAATCGGGTTAACTTGATGTAGCTACATTAACATTACAACCAATTACTCGGTTCATCCCGTGAACACTCAATATTGGTTATTAATTAATAGAAATGTACATTTCCGGGGCATAGGAAATGTCTTTCTTATTAAGTACTACAAAGAGCAAGTAGTCAAGATCTATGATTAGTGACTCCAGATATGAGCTTGAGACACAGACAACTTTACGTGTGATATGAAAAAGACTTTATTAACCAGACTAAACATTTAAACTACTCTAACATACACATACATACATGCATAGTTTACCAAGGGAAAGAGAGCTGAAGAAGAATACAGGAAAGCAAGAAGTTATAGCATTGTTTGATGTTCAGCAGATCAACAGCCTGAGCAAACCATCAGTTTAGTTCTAACACACCCTTCTTGAAAAGGGGTAAGGATACTCAATGTAACAATTAATGAGACTAAGTTTGATGCTTGCATGTCTCTTCCATTTGAATTAAACTGTCCTGATGCAATTTGTTGAGGCTCCGGTTGATCTTTGCTGATGTGGTCTTGATGAGAGAGAACCAGTGGTAGTCAGAGGATCTTTGGTGAATGGAAAGACAAGGCCGCAGCCTGGCGCAATCTTGGGAGTCCTTGAGGGACTTCTAGTTCAGCCTCATCTTCACGTTATGACTTCTCAAGAAGGACCAAGAGAGTCAGAGAGCCAGAGGCTAAGAGGACCGAGGACAAGCGAAGAGCTAAGAGGACAAGAGAGCGCAAGAGAGGGAAGGGCTGGTGTGGATGCAATTCATAACCTGAGAAAAGTCCAACCTCTCAGGGTTGGCTCGGCCAATAAGAAGGGTGGGAAGTTCCAAGCGGGAATATGGTTTATTGCTCTTTGTTTTAAGGGTGCTCATTGCATGTGCACGCTGGAGGGGTGGTAGCCGATGAAGAAACTATGAAAGATTCTTGTAATACTAATATGTTGTTGTTATCGACATATCATGTACACAGTCATTTCGATCTTCAAAGTACCAGGTTATAGAGACCAAATATGCCACACATATGATTTTGGTTAACCATAGTATGCAAAGTCTGAAACATTAACCCATTAGAGTTTACAAGAAAACATAGACCAAACAACATAAAGGAAAATCATGAGATTGAACATTAGATACATGTTAATACATTTATCACATGGTTATATATATGGAATATATAGGATTAAAAGGGTTCATTTCTCCTTCTCAGCAAGAATTAAGTTCATGCACATTCTTTTGGGTCGTAAACTTATCAGTCTTGTAACAGGACACCGAGTTCTGCCAGTGTGTTAGCTTGATTTGGGGGAAGTTTCACAGACCTTTGTTGGGATAGTGATTTTGCTGGATTATTCATTAAATATAATGAATAATGTGTGTGTGTCTGATCGGTCCAGACGCTACACCTGGAATGGAACTGGGATGTTCTGGAGAGTAGTTAAATCATTGTTATGTGGTCACTGAGTGCAGTTTAGAGCATTGCTATGTGGTTGCTTGGGCGTTGCTAGGTGGTTATTTGGGTGCTCTGGGTGGTTGCTCTGTGGTTGCTTACTGACCAAAGTCAAAATAGCTCCCTCTTTTCTCTTGTTCTTTATGCTCAGAAAAGTAAAGATTCGCATGATTTGAGGCATCATCCATGTTCTTAGCATAAACAATGTGGCACATGCTGAAATTTTTGCAGATCCCTAACTCTTACTAATGCAATCAACACTAATTTGGGCTGCGTTTCCTAAAAGCATCGTGAGCGAAGTTGATCGTAGAGAACATTGGTGGCAATGGTCTGGGAAACGCAGCCCTGGCTGAATTAGATAAATAAAGTTCAGGGAGAACAGCCGACCAGCATTAGTGTCCTTCCAGAATGTCATGGCGGTCATTTCATACATACTGTATATGCTGCGTTTGTGTGTGCTCATGTGGTTGCAGGGCTTATGTTCCTTTATGAGAACTGTGAGCTGTGTTTTATTACTAGGAGAGGTTGGGTGGGGGTGGGTCTGTCATTTTGATGGGTTCGAGAGGCACTCTGTTCATCTATAACAGCCAAGTGGCCTGTCATCAGAGACCATAAACCACAGCAGATGAAATAAAGAGATCAGCCATGTTGAGTGGAGCATTGGGCAGCCGTGCCAAGACTGCGTGTGTGACATTTTTCACTTTAATCCAAGGCTGCGTGTGTGTTTGTGGGAGAACGTCTCGGTACGGCACACACTTTTCATTAAAACCCGAATGTGTTTCTACATAGAGTGATACACCATTATACTGACCATAAAAATGTGAATTCATTGTACTCTTCAGTAGCATTTCTTTGCGTTTCTGGCCGAACGGTAGACCAACCCTGGCTTCATTTGATTGATTAGAAACACCTCTAATATCTAAAGGTTAATCAATACTGCCTCCAGGGGATAGGCAGAATGTATCTGTGTGTGTTTATTTTCGCAAGCTCTTCAGTTTTTTTGAATTGCAGATTTTGAGGTGGGTAAGCACATTGCCTCGTTTGTAAATGTTAATTTATGGGATATTCTTACTGTGTGTTAAAAGAATGACAATGTCTCTGTTTGTTTGTTTGCTTGTCCGTCTTTCCCTTTCTAATTCCTCATCTGTCCTGCTTTTAGGCTCAACTCTATGCAAGGATCTAAGGTTATACCTGAGCAAATGTTTCACACCGGGTTCCATGGACAGTCAACTCCAGCAGGTGATCCGAGAAAACCTCTACTTGAGAGCCGTGCCCTGTGAGTACCCCAAAAAAGATTGTTCAGAAGTTGCTCTTTTAGAGATTAAAATACCTATATCCCATCTACAGGGAACGTTCAAGGGGAAAACAAATGTTTTTTCCATACACATAGAATGTTCGTTCAAAGTTATCTGGTCTTTAATGATGTTCTCAAAACAGTAGCACAAAAACATTATCTTTACATAATTCATGTTCGTCTATGTTTTTTAACGCTCAGAAATAACTTAAAGGAGAACTCCGGCGCAAAATGAACCTTTGGTCTAATTACACATTGTTACCTAGTCAACCGTTATCTAAGATTTGTTTTCATGATTATCGAATGTAAATAGTTTTATCTCTAAAAACAGTTTAGCCTATAAAGCTAGTATAACGCTAGTATATTGGGCATAGTGTAATGACAAATAAAAATCGCTTGTTAATACCCCTAACAAGGCTCAAAATAGCCCCACACTAACACGGTAGCATAATGAGGGTCCCTACCTTCAAACCGAAGCATTGAGAACTTTGTCAGTGTCCAGACAGTTTAATAAGAAGATATTTTAAACATACAGTCAACTTCGCGTATACAGGCAGAATCTATCTTTGAAATACAGCCTTTACCAGTCGATCTACGAACGCCGATCCAAGTGCGCTGGTGAGATGTGAACGAGCTATAAGTTGTGATAAGGTGAGCGCGAACAGCAGGCTTGGATCGGCGTTCGTAGATCGACTGGTAAAGGCTGTATTTCAAAGATGGATTCTGCCTGTATACGCGAAGTTGACTGTATGTTTAAAATATCTTCTTATTAAACTGTCTGGACACTGACAAAGTTCTCAATGCTTCGGTTTGAAGGTAGGGACCCTCATTATGCTACCGTGTTAGTGTGGGTCTATTTTCAGCCTTGTTAGTGGTATTAACAAGCGATTTTTATTTGTCATTACACTATGCCCAATATACTAGCGTTATACTAGCTTTATAGGCTAAACTGTTTTTAGAGATAAAACTATTTACATTCGATAATCATGAAAACAAATCTCAGATAACGGTTGACTAGGTAACAATGTGTAATTAGACCAAAGGTTCATTTTGCGCCGGAGTTCTCCTTTAATAATAATGTTAGAAAACTGTTTTAGAACATGTTTTTGTTAGCTAGGATGGAGGAGGATTTATGTCTGTCTATATCCAATTGTCACTAGTGCCACAAACAGAATAAAAAGTTACTGATTTCCAGACAGGTTTCCCAAACGCTCCCCCACTTCTGTCATTGGTCAGACAAACTGATAGCTCCACCCCTAACTCACATTATTGGTTGAGATGTTACTTAATCTAAGTGCTCAAACAAACAGAGCAATGTTTTGATAGTGCCTGTAGGTTTCCACTTTGTCACAGCCTTTTCTTCTAAAAGCCCTTAGGACACATAAAATTAGAAACAAATGATACATTATTTATATTCACCATGAATATATCACTATTTAGAAACTATTTATACACAGTAGGATATAGGATAAAATGAACGTCGATAGGCTAACTCAAATCATTTTGTTTAAGAAGGATTGAGGGATTTTAGAAGGATTTGAAGATTTGTTGGCGTGCATATTGAAATCTTTTTGTTTTATTTCTAATCTTTTTTATTTTGTATACATGTTATGATCTATTTTTATTCTTAAAAGACAAATCTGAGAAGCAGAAGACTAAAGGAAAAATCTCCATTTGCTCCATTTCATTTCATTGCTGTCAGAGATTTTATGTGTAATTTTCCATGGTTAACCACACATGCCCATATGTTTAAACAAACTAATAAACTACTAGAAAATGAGCTTGTTATTTCATGCAACAGCACTTAACATCTTGCACGCAGGCTGATTGAGCTCAAGGTATTGCAGGTTTTCTGATGAAGTGTTAATTGGCGTGTGATCCATTTAATAGTAAGCAGGTGTTGACATTGACAGCTCCAACTGGTTTCACTGCGACAAGAAAGGAAGGATGCGAGAGAATGAAAAGAGAGATAGAGAAGGGGGAAGATGAAAGATACTTATCAAAGCAATAGTTGGGGCAAAAATACATTTTCCATCATTATTTACATGACACCCTCATGTCATTCCAAACCCAACATACTGTTATTTTTCCTGCGGAATGCCAAAGAGTGTTTAAAGAATGTTATACCATTTTTATACTTCATATAATCCTTTAATATGGGCAGTGATGTTTTTAATAAAAGTGAGGCACATCTCCATGCTCTGTGAGAGAGAACTGTTGAATATGGCCTCATAACATCTCCATGCTTTTCACTTCACTTTTCACGCTCTTTTCTATCAGTCGTCTCTCTTTCACACCCTCTTTTTCCGCTGTTGCTTTCCTTTTTCTGTGCCCTTTATCCTGAGCTTTAAAATCCTAATTATATTTTGAGTAATTTCTTTCCCATTTTAATCTTTGTGCAGTGATAAGACACATATTTGGATTAACCTCTATCAAATTCATAAGCTTTTGTTAAGTAGATGAAGTTCTGCTGGTTTTTACAGTGGAATTATAACCAGAGATGGTACAAGGAGGGGGAGATAGACCACTTGTAGAAAATAACAAACTGATCTCACAAGATATTATGAGATGGCTGTTTCTTGTATAGCATGATTAGCATATATGAAAACCCCTAACCCTACCCATAAAGCTAACAGTCAACAGGCTATATACAGATTGTATGAAAACATATGATTGTACAAATTCTTTGAACTTGACACTAATTTGGAAAACGCAAAATAGTTACGAATTACAATTAGATTGTGTTCTTGTGAAATCATAGGTATAAGTCCCACCTGATGCACAAGATAACCCTAAAAAAAACAGATAACCCTAAAGATTTATAGTGTTATTTAAGCTAAAAAAGCCTTTTTTTTTTTTATTAATCTTGTCAAATTGTATTGCTGATTTGATAGATGGGTTATTGATACATATATGTTATTGAAACAGAATCTTGATAAACAGTTTCAGAGAGTTTAGCCTTTCCTCACTCAATTTAATTGGAGCTGCCTGTACTCTTAGATTCTAATATGTACACTTTAGGAACTAATATTTACCTTTAAGGTACTGATATACATTTTTAAGGCTAAAAGGTACAGAGGTGGACATTTCTTACAACTTTTGTACCTTTTTTTTCTTCGAGTGTGTGGTGTTACCGATATGGCCGCCCACAGAGGGAACTGGCTTGCCTCAAAGGGACTTTGTTTACATTGTAAAACATTTGTGGCTACTTTGGGAACTTCCTGGTGATGCTGGCTCTCTTGTTTCTTTTTCATTGTTCGAAAAGTTTCAGTGAGTTCTCGTAGTTCGGACATGATGCTGCATGGTCTGGCTCTGCACATGTGTTTGAGCGTGTGTGGGAGTGTGTTTGAAACATAGCGTAGACTTGAGTGGGGTAATCTCTGATTTATAGTGATTTATAGTGAAGTAGGTCATGCCGAGCTTGACGCTGCCTGTCGTGTGCCATTCTGCTTGCTGACACACACACACACACACACACACACACACACACACACACACACACACACACACACACACACACACACACACACACACACACACACACACACACACACACACACACACACACACACACACACACACACACACAAACAATAACTACTGCAGAGATGCCTTTGAGCTTGTCTTTGGCTCTTCCAAAACACATATAAGCTTCATTTGGGATACTGCAACGCATTTTAAGATTCACACGTGCATTAATTATTCAAATACTTACACAGGACAGTGAACACACAAAACACACTGTTCTGGCTAGTTTTTCTCTTTATCTCAGTCTGCTGAATGAGGCAGTGCCCCTAAAGCTAGGTACTTTCAATTCCCGATGATGTCCTCACCTTAACTTTCTACACTTAGTCCTGAGAATAAGCCGTTTGTACAAACAGAGATGTTATAGATGTTTACAGATGTTTCAACTGCTGATGTGTGATCATTTAAGCCATTGTGCGGTTTGCCATCTGTTATGTTTTAACTTGCATACAACACTATATGGCTACGTTCACACTATCAATCCAAATCCGATTATTTGTGTATCTGATTAGAATCTTTTTTTGATGTTCACACATACTAAATATGATCAGATTCCACTAAGATATGCCCTAAAATCATTTAGACTGACAGTCTGAACAAGGCTTCTGTTAAAATCATGCAATATTTGGGCAAAATGATCATTTGGAGAAGTTACATTTAGCCATCTTTGATGATATATTCAAGATACTGTATCTGATTATCACAATAAGACTGATTTCACAGCGTAATTTGCCAGACGGACAGATTGGATTTTAAAAAGCTGATTCTATTATGATAGTGAACAGAGTTCAGATTATGAATAATCATCACAAGGCAGTCAAAGCTTTAAAGGACATGGATTTGGTTTGAGGAAACTGACCATGACGTCTGCAGTTATCAAAGTCCCTTAATTAAGTCAGTTCACTCGACGGCCATCTTACTAACACTTCCTGGTAGCTTTTTTTTATTTGTCACTCGCCTAATTTTTCCTATTTATTTTTCTCTGTTTTCTCATTCTTATACTGTCTAAAATCGATGGGGCTTCATACAATTACAAAAGCATGTACGAAAGCTATATTCACAACATTCCCAAACCAATGATTTGCTTTGTAATCACCAGTGTTGGATAAAATTACTTTTAAAAGTAATGCTTTATATTATTGTGCTACTCCTAAAAATCATTAATTATTATTTTACATCATTGCTTAAATGCAAAGTAACACATAACATTACTTTTGTTTTAAAGAGCCACATTTTGTATTATCAGCTTCATATCATTATCAGCATTATCATCATCATCAGACTTAAACTCTCATTGAGAAACCCATTCACACCATAGACAGGGTTTAGATTAAGTCCGGATTAGGCCTTAGTTCAACTAGGACATTTCAGTAACTTTTATAAATGTGCCTAAGAAAAACACATTACTGGTGTGCATCTTGAGACAAAAAAATGGCACTGACATATTTTAAGATATT